TGACACCGCCATCTACAACTGTAGAAACCCCAAAAGTTACTTTCGATAAAATCTATTGGAAAGTACCACATATTTCAGTTGATATACCACAACAACTAGCTCTCACTAGAATATTGGAGTCAAATAAAGATGTACTAATTGGATTTAGAAGCTGGGAACTTGTTGAATACTCTTCCCTAACTGAAACAACACGACACACATGGCCTGTAAAAACTACTAGCAAACTTGAAGCTCCCCGTCATGTAATAATTGCCTTTCAAGAAAATCGAAAAGGAGATGTTAAAAAAGATATGAGTCAATTTGACAATGTAGATTTAACAAATATTAGAATATTTTTAAATTCCGAAAGGTATCCTTATCATGACTTATATTTAAATTTCAAAAATATTCATCTTTATATGAAATGTTTGCAAATTTTCGTTATTCTTATTATGGTACTTCTAATGAACCCATTTTTAATCCTGAAAAATTCAAGGAGATTTCACCAATTGTGTATATTGATTGTTCTCATCAAAAGGAAACACTTCAAACGGGTTCTGTTGTAATGAGAATTGAGTTTGAAACAAACAGTGCAATCAAAAAAGACACATCTGCTTATTGTCTTATTTTACATGATAAATTATTTAGTTACAATCCTTTAACAAAGATTGTCAAACAATTATAAACTTTACTCCCACTCTCTTAATGTTTAGTTTGATATAAAATAAGTAAACATAGTGTCTGTAGTAGTAAATATGTCATCAAACACTTCAACTAGAAATACAAAAATTTATTTTTAAAATACAAAATTGAAAGAACAAATTACAAATTACTCAAGACAAAAAGTCTAATTAAAAAAGTTTAGCTTGAACTAAAAAATATGAGGGTTGATTGTGGATATACAAGGATTTAAAGATGAGAAAAACACCTTTTTACCTAAAGAACTTGCAGCCTTTGATGGACATAGAATCTCACATCATATGTTTAAAAAACCCTATCCATTAGACTGTCTGTCACCAGAATGTCACAGACAGGCAGTATGGCTAATGAAAAACCATCATTGTATCAACTGGAATGAAGGATTTACACCTCACCATTATTTTTCGACAATAATTGAAAAGCTCACTGAAGAACCTGAAGTGGAATTTGTTTATGTTAAAGGAGCTGAAAAAGCAGAATTTGTAAAGAAATATTCCAAAAACCAGTGATTGAAATAGATGAACAACCTGCTTTTGCCCATCGGAACACCAAATGCTTTTTATCATTCTAAGTCAACTTGTATGTGTGCATTATCAAATGTATTGTATTTGTATGATAATTTTTTCATGAATGAATAAAAATCTATATAATATTTATTACATCTTTTATTATTATTATTAAAATACAATTTTATACTAAATTAATACTTCTACATCAACTAAATTATTAGATGAATTATCCTGGTTAACTAAATTGCTATTTATGTTAGTGTTTACTATTACGTTATCATCTGTTACTTGATTGTGGAATTCCCCACTCTTAACAAATTTATTTAAATATGTTATTTGATTTATAAATCCTAAGTCTATCATTACAGAGAATAATTCTAATATATTATCATTTTCATAATATTGTGCACAAGCATGCATACCTCTTTCATATTTAAGAATCACATCATAATATATTTTTTCCATCTGTCTAAGTTTTTGATAAGTTTCATGAAATGATTTATAAAATTCTTGATGAATACATATTACTGCACTAATAAGTTCAATATTCTCACTTGACATTTTTCACTTTAAAACAGAATATAGTTTTTTAAATATTTTGGAGTATGATATTGACGAAGAGGTCTATGTTTTCTTGATACTGTGTTACTTGAACTTCTAAGGGTTGTGATAACTTGCCCTTAAATCTTCGCACTAACTGATCTCTAGCGTCATCCAAGTGGAACCTCTCGAACACCTTTAAAATTTCTATTATAACTTTGGAATTCTTCGTTAGTCTCAGGTATGGAACAATGTGTGTTAGTTCACTTGCAAAATATGTTTGACCAAACGCGCGCACAAATTCAAAAAGATTAAGCCGTTTTAGTAAATAATCAGCACAGAACTCAACTATCCGATGGCAGTCTTCTTTCAATGGATAAAATAAATCTTTTTGATTAATTAAAATTACTTGGCTGCTAATCGTTTGACGGAAATAGGTATACTTTCGAATTAACAATCTAACAACATTAGCTAGTTTTTTCTTATTGTGCATTACTCTTGATATGTAGAAGAGATTCACTTTTATAATACGAAATTTTACTATATGACTAGACACTAATATAGTGAGAGCAAGCGTAAGTGGGGATAAGCAAGCATAATAAAGCTCTTTCTTTCTCTGTCTGTCTGTCTGTCTGTCTGTCTGTCTGTCTGTCTGTCTCTGTCTGTCTCTGTCTCTGTCTGTCTGTTTCTCTTTCCCTCCCTCCCTGCCTAAGGATATGCTCGATTCATTCATTATGCTCTGGTTCACATGTGTCTATCTTCTTTCCCCCAAAAATATTCCTCTGTATTTTCTTTTTCCAGATTTTTAGCATAGAATTTTCCTTTGCATTGAACGTTTCACATGCCTATACATATTCTGACTTTTAACCTTGTTGATATGTTCTTGCTCCTAATAATTCTCTGTAGTGCAGTTACACATCTATTTCCTGCCATTATTCTTGACAAAATTTTCTGGGGTGCATTTGCTTTCCTTATAACTACAGTTATTAGATCTGTGAATGTATCTACTTCATCAAACTTGTATCTCTACCCTACATAATTACATAATCTTTCTATACTGGACCCATTGTTGTATATTATTGGCTATGCGAGCCCAATTTATCGCTGTTAATTTTCCACTATAAGGGTTTACATCTCAGGTCTTCTTCTAGGTCTATTAATTCTTCATAGATCCTACGCTGTAATTATTGTATTTCACAAGTATTTTAAAATTGATTGCTTATATACCGGGTATTCCTTAATGTCATGCTAATACTTATAATAATAATAATAATAGCTCCCGTATATAGCATTTAACGCCTTGGGAGTAGCAAGGTACTGCTTGCTATACTAGAGCCGTTCGGTATACAAGGAAGGTAATGTGGCTAGCACTACGCTTCAACCGCCTATTATTACCTCAGGATTGTAAATCCCAAGTATTCATTTAAGGCTGAGTCGACCTAAGTACCCAAACTATTTTTATTTTTAATAAAAATAGTCGGTTGATGAAATGCCGGGTGTGGGAATCGAACCCACACCTTGAGATTGGTAGACGAGAATCTGTACCTCTACGCCCACTGTTCGGTTTTTATATGATTAAAAATAAAAAATATATAAATTATAAAATTAGTAATTTTTTAATGGCCATAATGCGTTCTTTCAAAATCATCGAACAACAAAATCATTTCCATAGATCCAGTGACCGCGAATTTTGAGACCAAAAACTGACAAATAATTTGTCAAAAAAATCATATAACAGCTATATGTTTTATTTTGCATAAAAATGTTAACTAATAAGTTAGAAAAATTATATTTCTTCCCTAACTAAGTGGTTTTATCGTTAAATTTATCTAAAGCTAAGTACAACACAAATCTTAAATACATGGACTATTATAACAACAAATACATCGTAAAAGACTATTTTTGTAGCATTCTGAACGAGGATTCAAGTTAAACTTTTTAGAAAATAATTTAAAGGAAAAATAAACCTGCTCGCAGATGCTTGTTCCGAGTAAAATCCTAGAGCTCTATGATTTGCTTTTATAAACTCTGGCACATGATCCAGAATTGCATGAATCTTTGAAGTTATCTTAATACCTAAGCTGAGTATTTCCAATCTAAATTGTTTGATGTCATGTTCAAAATGTTTGTTTAGTGCTTGACCAAAACAACTTGAAACTACTTGATTGAATGCAGAAAACACTGCAATATATTTATTCCTAAGAAAAAAGATGTTTAGGTTTCTGCTTCTAAAAACTTTGAATAGGATTCTTTACCGGGCGATATCGTCTTCAAAATATCCACTTTCTTTAAAAGTTGTCTGGCGTTATTTCCGTTACATTTTCCATAATGATCTAGTTTCAATCCAATAATTTTATCCATTCTGTTGCAACATTGGTATTCTCCAATTCAAGACAATCAAATAGTTTTTGAACCATACCTAACAAAAGGTGAAGCTCAGGAGGGGGAATATACTTTAAGACAGGTGTTTCTTCGTCGCCAATTATTAAAGGTATGTTTATACAGTTTTCTAAAAAATAATTGCCTTTTTTTATATGGTTCATTGAACAACAGTTTAAAAAATACAAAAAAAATATATATTTCAAACAAAAACGCTTAGTAAAATTTTTGGCTTTTGTTATATTTCCTCTAGATTGTTGCCATAAATTTGTATTTTCTGTAATACTTTTGATAGTTCTTAATGATCCTTTAATTTCCATTTCCTTTACATTTACATCACACCATGGGCAAGTGTGAGTAGATGAATTTGACTGAAGACCAAGGAGAATCATAATAAGCTTAAAGTCAGCGGCATAAGTATAAGAACAAATTCCACATATGAACTACAGATCTAACGTCTCAAAGAGGCTTTTAATGTTAGCATAAGATTCAGACAACTTTGGTCCTAAGCCAATTATGAATAGTTTATTAATTCCAGCACTTTTATTTCTTAAAATATTCGGGATCATTTTCAGGGAGCACATTCAGACAAACTTTAAGTGATCCACCACCACTATCAATGCCAATTTTTAGATGAAAATCTTCAGGTAATTCTCTAATTTCCAAAATATATGATAGAAGACCAGATAAATCTAAGCAGTATTTATTTAATCTAAAAATCTAAGCAGTATTTAATATTAAGTTTTATTAAGGATCATTATGGAACATCCTGTATAACTAGAGTATAACATTAATAAAACAAAATGAACAGTCCATAATAAAACAAAATAAATAATGATTAAGTGTTTTATTAAGTTTTTGGTATATCTTTGTGTAATAAGCATGTCTATCAAATACACTAAATATATGATTTGCGCTACTCATATATTAAAATTTTAGCTAAAAGCATTAATAGTCAAGGAACGCTTAACATTAAATATAACTTGTGTTTAGGTTTAGTATAACATGGAATGGGGAAACACTATATTATACTTATTTTATACCAGAGAAAAATGAAGCATACGAATATGCCAACTTGAATATCTGAAAGAGAAAACTTTAATTATTCTTACTTAAAAATACAAAAAATTTGTTCTAAATAATATCTATTTCAGAAAAACATACTATAAGAAACACATGACAAAATCATTAAAAACATCACACTTAACAATACGATCAAAGAAATCGGATCTGAAACTAAATATCGATAAATTTTATATGTCAAATAATATGGTGAATGTTAGTGAATAATTTTCAAAACAATTAAAAAATATGTAGGTGACGCACTCTACAAGTAGGAATCATATCAAAATTAAATTTCTCATGTCAAAAAATACCCAGACACCAATTTTCATCCAAATATCGATGATAGTGCAGAAATTATTTGGAAAAAATCTAAATAAAACTAAACTTCTACACCCTGTATCTCCGAAATTAGGCATTTTAAGGTATACATTTATCTAAACTTTTTTACTTATTTTTATCTGCAGAATATGCCGCCGAAGTTTCCCGAATACAATTCGGACCACCGTGTATATTAACACCCTTACGTAAAAATGATGTGTGGTAAAGAAACAAACTAAATATAATTTGATTAAATTAATAAAGTGGCATTCTTACAGCTACTACAGATTCTGCAGTCATGGGTCCGAAAGGTCCGATGCGTAGAACTAAAGCTTTTTGTGAGCGCATGATAACAAAAGTCAATTCCTTTCTAATTTGCTTAGACTGAGTGGTCCAGTTACATGAATACACCGCTAAACCAATTTGTTCGCTCTGTAATAAATTATCAATATTAGTACCTAATCTGGATTTTCTATTAAATTTTAATATAATAATTAATGACATTGTGTGCACCATTCGATAAAGAAAACTGAGAGAGACCGATGTCACATACGTTTAATCAACGGTTTATATATTAATATTATATTATGTTGATTATTAAACTTTTAAGGATACAGGGTGGCCCATCGAAAACGTTCCGCAAGGCATAACAGCCAGGGTATTTTTTTTTCAAAAAATCCAAAAACACGTCAATTTTGTTTGCGAGGGGGGCAACTTTTGGCACAAAAATGATTGCAAATCTTCATCTTGGGGGTGTCATCATTTTTTTCAAATGGGAAGGGGGGTCAAGTGGCACCGCAATGAAAAGGGCTTTCTATTCTCTATATTTCCCCGCTTCGTTTTTAAAAATTGGTCAAGTTATTTTGAAAATATGAAAGATTGAAATCTGAAAAGTACTTTTTGCAAAAAAACGCATAAATTGAATTAATTAAAAAATTATTAACTTATTAATGAAGCAAATGCTGAAAATGTTGCCCGTCAACCTCCATACAGTAATACAAATTATTTTCAAACCGTTCTCGAACATTCTGAAGAACTTGCGGGGTCACTTCGCGACAAACATCAATAATTCGTCTTCGCGGGTCTTCTAATGAGGCGGGTGAAGTGCTATATACTTTACTTTTTATGTCTCCCCTTAGAAAAAAGTCTAAAAGAGTCAAGTCGGGTGACCGGGGAGGCCACTCAATTGCACCCTTTCGTCCTATCCACCGACCGGGAAAGTTATTGTTCAAAAATTACGCACATTTTGAGAGCAATGTGGAGGTGCACCGTCTTGTTGAAATATTAGTTCCGCTACAACGTATCCAAAAATACCAATCCACAAGTTCAATTTCTGAGGGTTTTCTGTGTGCACCTCGTGAAAAACCCTGGGGTTGTCCTTAGCCCGGTACCGACAGTTGTGCCGATTAACTACACCGTTCAAAAAGAAAGTACACTCATCCGAAAAACACACATTAAATAGGAAATTATTATCATTGGCCACTCGTTCACTCATAGCTTCACCAAATTGCAAGCGACGATCAAAATCGTCTTCGCTGAGTTCTTGTGCCAACTGAATTTTGTACGGATGGAAGTTGTGTTTTTTTAATATCCTTTGGACACTTGTACGATTCACGCCGGTCTCATTGACTAATTTTCTGGTACTCAGCGTACTATCCATGGCAACTTCGCCCAATACGAATACTTCCATAGCTTCATTTACTACAGGATTTTCCCTCTGCCTCTTTTTATTCATAACGAAACCAGTTTTTTGCTACTAACTCGCGAACAATTTTGCCATAAACCTGTTTGTCAAGATGGCGTTCATTGAATATCTGCGCAACCCGATTGCCACATTCATTATTTTTAAAATTTAGTTTGATTATTTCCACTATTTCTGCAAGTGAGTACACCATAATTGTTAAAAAGTTTAACGATATTGAGAAGAACTTCAACGCACAAGTCACAGAACAGCTATCTAGCAACTACCCCACCTGATCCTTCAACCTTTTGGCAAGTGAAAAAATGCGTAAACATCTAGAAATAATAAGAAAAAACAGCAAATTGTTTGAAGGAATTTATCCTTACCATTTACTCTGATAAATGTTTAAATAAACTTTTCAAATTTCAATCCTTCATATTTTTTCAATGACTCGACCGATTTTCAAAATCGAAGCGGGAAAATATAGAGAATAGAAAGCCCTTTTCATTGCGGTACCACTTGACCCCCCTTTCCATTTGAAAAAAATTGGGGGATGACACCCCCGCTTAGAGGGTTGAAAATGCAATAATTTTTGGGGCAAAAGTTGTCCCCCTCACAAACAAAATTGATGTGTTTTTGAATTTTCTGAAAAAAAATTACCCTGGCCGTTATGCCTTGCGGAACGTTTTCAATGGGCTACCCTGTATAATAAATAGTACCTGAATTTTTATTTCATCTGCAAGTAATCCGAAAACGGATAATTGAACGGACACAACTATTAACAAAAATATGTAGAAGATGTCTCCCTGAAAATTGTAAAATTAATAAACATAATTACTGATCTAAATAAGTGCAAATATTAAGAAAACAAATTACTAAATAACAAAAAAATATTTGAATACATTTAATACATGTTGAGACTCACCCCCAGAGCAAGTATAATTATGTTAGCTACCATGAGAGAAGCAACAAAATACTCAATCATAACCGCGTATTTGATATTCTCATTTAGAGTTTCTATATAGCTGAAGTAAAAATAAAGGCCAAATACAATAAATAACACATAAATATAGTATAGTATTATACCTTATAAATTCTTGGTGTTTTTTAATTGCTCGTGTGAATATTTTATCGGCCTCATACTCATCTTTGATTTTTTCACCCTCTTGTATATTAGTTTTAAAATAGTATTGTACTATCTAAACAGAAAAAATAGATAAAATAATATTAATTAAAAATGTATCAACTAGACAAAAAAGTAGCACAGTTTTAGATTAACAGCACACAGAAAGATTAATTAATTTTAAATTGAAAAAAAAACAATGTTATCATCAATACGGCATTTCTTTTAGTTTAAAGCAATAATAAACATACATAAGCTTACTTCGAGTTTTTTTTTACCGAACATCTGTGATACACATGCCAAAATGAAATATGTGGCAAGTTTTTTATATGCGCATGAGCTGAAATGTAGCACGATGATGTGATATTCGGTAGCAAGATGATGTGTCGTGAATACATTGTTCTGTTGCGATAAATTTTTAGTCAAACCGGCAGTGCATTATTTGCCATTATATTGCAATGACGTCTAGTCCCTCAGACAAATTTGAAGAAGATATTCAAGAATGTGCTTCGTTTTACATTAACTAGGAAGAAAAGAAAATTTTGGATACATAAAATAAACGAAAATAGATTAGCTATTCTGAGAGTAACATATGTTAATTAATATACTTTTCAAAAATGAAAATCAATTCCCTATATACTGTAGAATGTCCAGAGAACAATTTGAAAGTTGAAAATAGAATAAAAAGTGGTGGAAAGCATACTGACTAGGGTTTCTGGAACCGGAGCTGTTTTTCGGAACCGGGAATTTTTTGTACCGCGCCTCTTAGGAACCGGAATTTCTTTCTTTTGTACTTTCGGTACTGACTAATTTTTGTTTAATGATGCAGCTCATCAATCAGAAAGCACAGGATGATTTTCCAAAGTAAAATTGATAAAAATTAAGATTTTTAATGAAAATAATATCAAATTATTAAATAGTCAGTCACGAAAAAATTAACATGAACACAATAAAAGAAAAAAATATAGGTAATAAAATCAAATATCTATTAAAATATAACATAAGATATAACTAATATATTGAACAACATTATACTAAATAATAAAGAAGTATTATTTAAACTTCAATAATTTTCTAATAAACATTACAGGAACATTAGAGAAAAAAAGCAAGAAGAATAATAAATAACTGACTACTTATTTAGAAGAATTTGATTTCAACCGCTAGAAAGTATTAAAGTTTTTTTTTTGCTTTCTCACCCAACAAAAAAATAGTGTTTTAATTATTGTTAGCGAGTCCCGAAAGAACCGAGAATTAATATCGAGGCCCGGTTGTGGAAAAGCCAAAAAGATCCGGGAATTCCCGGTACTTTCAAGACTAGAATTTTCCGGTTCTAAATCCTAATTGGGAGTAGTAATTAAGGTCTCCCGAACCGGAGCTGTTTTTCGGAACTGGGATATTTGGTATTATACCTCTAACGGCTCTAATAAACCGGGATTTCCCGGTTTTGCAGGTACTTTCGATACTAACAAATTTTTGTTCAATGATTGTGCAGTTCACCAATCAGCAGCAGATAAAATTGAGTTTTATATAGAAATAACGTCAAATTATTAAGTAATCACTCGTGAAAAAATTGACATGAACACAAATGAATATAAATGAAGAAAAAAACGAAAAAACAATGGTAACATAAAATTTTCATCAAACAACATAAAGAACTAAACTAAATCTAAAAGGAAACTTACATTTTTAATTAAGAATAAAAATTCTTACAAAAACACACAATGAAAAATATAACTTATTTACAAATTTATAAGATAAAAAGCTTTTAAACGCCTTATATTGTGGCATTTACACCTAGTAAATAATTATACAGAGAAGACCAGGCTACTAGTAACATAGCAAGTTACCGGACCAATTTACGTTTACCCGATTTGCGTTCGTACTAGAGATTCACTGCCGGCTAGTCGACTGGTCAGGCAGTACGCAGTTGCAGTTGTGCTTGGACGAGTCGGTCGTGACACTAGGAATACGACGCGAGAAGTACCGAGTATTTATTATTTTCATTTTAAGTATTTACCTTCACTTAAGGTAACATTTAAAATAAAAATACTTAAATATTTATTATTTGAGTGTGTTTACAAGCCAAAATTAAAAATAAATAAATTCTCTAAACCCGAAAAAAAAAACTAAAATATTACTCTAAATAAAAAAATATATAACAAGTGTTCAAAAAGACCACCTTCTTGTGCTAGACAGAAACCTAGGCGGTCGTAAAATCCCCGTCTGACATTGGCTAATAGTTTGGAAAGCCTCTCATATTTTTACTTGAAGCTCATCCAGAATATTAGCCCTATTATTACCATACACTTTGGATTTTACATAACCCTAAAAAAGAAATCATTGGGAGAAAGATCTGGTGATCTAGCGGGCCACAAAATAGTTCCATGTTCACTAGTTAAACGGTTGGGAAAAGTATTGTTCAAATATTCTTGAACAATACGGGTATTGTGGGCAGGGCAACCATCTTGTTGAAACCAGACATTGTGGAATCTTTTTCCCAATAACTCACGAATTCTAGCGACAATCTGCTGCTGTAACAAGTCCAAATACTTTGCAACAGTTAAATTACCCTTTATAAAAAATGGACCAATCATATGCTCCCCTACAAAACAACCCCAAACACTTGCTTTAACTCCTGTTCTTCATTAATCAACACATCAGGCATTTTGTGTTTTTGTGCGGACACGCACCCATGTGTTTCAAAATTATTAATAACTCTTGATATAGTAGGTGAAGATGGAATTGGCCTGTTTACAAAAGTTTGTGGGAAACTTGTTTGTATATCCCGATAAGACCTATTTTGGAAATACCATTTTACAATTTGAATTTTCTTTGTTGAACGAACTTTGTAAACATCCATTATTTTACTTAAAAAATTTACACGAGAGCTGTAGCGAGAATCTATGTATTCGTTTTGGCTATTAAAACACGAATAAATACAAATTCTGTAACATTCTTATCACATATCTGTCTATTTTTATTTTATCGCATTTTTTCGCCTGCTTTTTATCCGGCGGACGGGTATACGCTAATTCGTCCGGTTCTGCCTATGTTACTACTACGGTGGTCCGGTCTGCATATCTGATTAATAATATAACTATTTTATTAATATTTTATTACCTTCATTTGCACTATGACATTTACCATAATGGAATTTAAAAAAGTGTAGCATGCTGAGTTAAGCAAAGAAGTCCAGATTGAACCGATATGTTCTAATGCAAGCATTATATAAAAATAATTTTGAAATGGATAATAAATTATTAACAGAAACATTGGTCTTTCAGTTCCATTATGTTCTTTCTCAAACTGATATGCCAATATATAACCTAAAAATGTATTACATTATATAGTATCAAGGAAATACAGGGTAGCGCCTCTCTCATACAACTTGCAGGATCAAATGAGAACGACAGTTTTTATTAAAATTAAATTTTAGGACCATGTAGGTTAATTTAGAGTATTTTTTAGATATGTAGACATCTAGAGAAACCAAACCATAAAAAAGTTTTATATCAAAGTTGTATTATATAATTCTAGAAAAAAAGTTTTGGTAGAAAAGCATAATATGAATAAATTTAAAGTTTTGGACATAATTATTATCTTCTAAAAATGAAGATTACATTTTTAATTTCAATTAAAGCTACCTAAATTGTAATTTTCCCCGTATAACTAAACTGTAATAATTTATACTACTTTAAACCAAATTAAAACTTTCCCAGATTTTTTGATATTCTCTTTTTATTTCGCAATATTCTCTTAGATGATATTCTAAAGAGAACAATTTCCAAGAATCATCGTGGAATATGGTGGACTCCCCTGTCATGTCTCCTTCCTCATAGTCATATGGCATCAAAACGACTTATCAAATGAAACTAGAACTGCAGGTCTTAAGATCAATATTAGAAAAACTAAATCAATGAGAGTTTATAACCAATAACATCGTTCCCATTATCATGACAGCACCTATAGAGGAGGTAATAGTATATTACATACCGAGGAGGGAAGTATTACTCTCGAGAGATTGATATTGTTAATCAAGACGCGGAGCGTCGAGATTAACTAAATCTCGAGACGATAATGAAAATTTTCCTCCGAGATTTGTATACTATTTTTTTTACAACCACATCATTAATTAAAAAATAAGGACAGTATTTTATTCTGAAAAAATAAATAAATATGCGAAAATTTGTCGTTTTCTGTTTTGGCATTTCCATATCTATAGTTACCGGTACCAGTGGTTGGTAGGAAACACGATTTTCGTTGTTTTGGATGTGGTAGAGAAGGTTTCACAAAGAATTCGTGTCCTAATTGCAATCCAAATAGGAATTCTCGAAGTCGTAATGAGCCTAGTACATCTTAATCATTAAGCATCGCGTTCCGTAACTCTATTTAATTTACGATAATCTGCACAAAATCACCAAGTTTTATCTGGTTTAGGGACCAATAACACGGGTGAAGACCAACCACTAGAAGATTTTTCAATAACCCCTAACTTTAACATTTTATCTAATTCGGTATTAATAATATCTTTTTTAAAAGGTGATACTGGATAATAACGTTGTTTAATAGGATCTTCCTGTGTAACACGAATCTTATGTTGAACTCCTGTGGTACAACCCAAAGCATTACTATCAAAACTTGAAAAATAAGAATTAACAATTTGGTTAAGATGTTCTAAGTCATTTGTCCCTAAGTCAGTTTGTGACTCGATAGAATTTAAAACTGGTGTATTTAGATCTACATCAGAGAAATACCATTCTCCTTTCCTAGCATCTGGAACTATTCCCATTCTAATCCAAAAATCTATTCCTAAAACTAACTTATGTCTTAATCCCGGAAATATATATATACGTCCATAATTTTAACTACATTACGTAACCTAAGTGGAATTGTAACTACCCCTAAACATTGACATTGACTATGATCAGCGACACGACAAAGTAAATTTGCAGATTGATTTAATTGAATGCCTAAATTCTTAATCATTTCGTATCCCTCTAAATTCATAAATACTTTATTAGCACCACTGTCTAATAAACCGTAAAAAGATAAACCTAAAATTTCAACTTTAGCATACGGACATTCACCTTCGCCGACTTGAGCTAAAATGTAATCAAGAACAACTTTACCTTTAAAATCTTTGACCGGACTGTCAACAAAAGAGGCGGTGGGCCGATCAACTACCGTCTCTGCGTAGCGTTTCCCGAACCAGAAGTTCGTGTGTTTTGGTTGTTTCGAGATGATTCAGATGTACTAGGCTCATTACGACTTCGAGAATTCCTATTTGGATTGCAATTAGGACACGAATTCTTTGTGAAACCCTCTTTACCACATCCAAAACAACGAAAATCGTGTTTCCTTTTCGGACAATCTTTCGCAAAATGCCCCGGAGTTTTACATCTCCAACAAGTTTGTTCTCTAATTTGAATTTCATTGACAGTTGGACGGCTTTGTCTCGGACTACCCTTGTAAGCTAAATCAGGTTCTAAAGAAAGTGACGACAAATTAGGCGGCTTAAAATTATCTACAGATTCACGAATTTCCTCGATTTTACGACATAGTTCAATAAGTTCGAAAGGTGATCTAATTTCTGTTAATGCTAATCGTTCCTGGAAGAATGGCAAAATATTTCGACGCAAAACTTGCATACGCAAACTATCTGACACATGTGTAGGCATTCTATCAAATAAACTCGTCATAATAGCTACATATAGACCTATCGACTCGGAAGCACCCTGAGTACGCGAAAGAATTTGTTGCCATAGTTTATCTGCGGATGGAACATACTCTTCCTTCATCAACTTAATCAAACTATCCCAATCACTCGCATATCTCTTAAACCAGTTGTACATTCTCAATGCATCGCCTGCGAAAAGATCTCTAGCTGAGCTAAACAAATTTGCTTTATTAACATTTCTACTAATGCAATGTTCCTCTACCTCTTCTAAAAATGAATTAAAACTTTCAGTAGGTAAGCCCGAAAATTTAATTTGCCACTTATAAACAGGTACCGTAAAAGAAGAATTAACGTTAAAGCTATTATTTAAATTTAAATCATTATTAGGTATCGGTGGAACACGCGGTGACGACGTAACAGGTGGTGGAGAATGCGTTTCTGTATTTCCAGAAGTACTAGGTGGTATGTCTTGAAGGCGTAAATCTGTAAGTACATTTTGTTGTACAGGTTTTAAGGCTAAGTTTTTACTATTATATACAGAAATCATTTCCATCAAACCCTTACGAAGCACGGCACGCTTGCACATAAGATCTGGATCATCAGAAGTAATTCGTTCTAATCTATTATACGTATGACATATCTTTGTCTCGACCCGTCTAACCTGCCCTACAGAACCAGAGAATGTCGTTAAAAATTCCGTAATATCATTCAGCTTAGTCTGACAAATATTTAACTCCTCAGAAGCATCTCCCTCAAAAGGAATAGGTTGGTTAAAAGAAGCATCTTTTTCAAGACTTAAAGCGCTACGAAGACCTTTCCTAAGAGCATCCACATTATCAGACTCGGCTATACCTCGAGATCGAAGTTTCCAAATAAGTTCATCTTTATGCAATCTGTCTACGTCTAGTTTGAAAGGCATTTTAATAGTCAATCAGTTTCACACAAAATTATATTAAAGTAGTTAAAAATCTTTAACCCCTATGTATATGGCAGACCCAACATTCCCACTTGTTGCGTTGAAAACAGACAAAAGATAATCACATCAAGTCTATGTTCAAGAATCCTCCGAAGAAATATGCCAAGAAAATTATCCTAACACAAGCATAAGTCTAAATAAAGAATTAGTAACCACTGTAGAAAGAAAGGTAGGTTTTAAACAGACAAATTGATATTTTATTAATGAGGTTTTATATTACAGTTATCGGAGACAACTCCATCCCAAGAAATTGTTGTGGTGAAGAGATTTAATAGATAAGATATTATTAGAAGTTATATGTACAGTTAAGAAGTAAGCTAATTAAACGTTATTATTCAAGTTATTCAAGTAAGTTTAGTTTTATTCCTAAAAATAAGCAAAATAAGTAAAATAAGTTACGGTGAAATTTTAAACCGCAACAATTGGTAATCCATCAGAACTTACATCGCCCAATCGCACTGCTGAGCACAATCTACAAGCTTCTGGAGAGACTAATAAGAGAGTAACTTACTAACAGAGTAAGATAATAGAGAGTATACCGATTGAACAGGCTGGCTTTTGTCCTGGACGTAGCTGCGTGGATCAGGTTCTGTCACTAAAAACTTACATCGAAGCAGGATTTCAACGCCAAGAAAAAACATCAGTTGCTTTTATTAACTTGACCGCGGCGTACGATACAGTTTGGAGACAAGGACTGATCTGTTAGCTAGCTAAAGAAATCCCCTGCCGAAGGACCGTCAGCCTGGTCGACGATATGCTCCGAAATAGACTCTTTCAGGTAAAACTGGGAGAGAAAGAGAGCAAAAAGATGAAACTTAGTAACGGATTGCCACAAGGTTCTGTCTTAGCTCCATTGCTGTTTAATTTATATATCGCTGATATGCCTGCTACTTCAGCTAGAAAATTTGGGTATGCGGACGATTGGTCGATAGCTACAAGACATAAAAACCTCGAGGAGACAGAGGCTGTTCTTGCGGAAGACCTGTATTCCCTGGGAAACTACTTCCGCCAGTGGAGGTTGCAACCGAGCGCGGTAAAGACGGAAGTTAGTTGTTTCCATCTTAATAATAAATTAGCAAACCAAGAACTTAAAATAAGGTTTGAAGGTAACTGGCTGTCCCACAACAACACCCCAAAATATTTAGGCATTACACTAGATAGGACCTTGTCCTTTAAGAAGCACCTTACACAAACTGCAGCTAAGCTCAACACTCGGAATAATATCCTCCATAAATTATGCAGCACCACGTTGGGGTCATCCGCGAGTACCTTGCGCTCCTCTGCGCTGGGTTTGGTTTACTCTACTGCTGAGTACTGTGCCCCGGTGTGGCTCAATAGTTCTCACACAGGAAAGGGGGACGTCCAATTGAACAACACAATGCGTATTATATCAGGAACAATAAAATCAACTCCCACCCAATGGCTTCCTATTCTAAGTAATATTCCTCCACCACATATACGCAAGCAGTATGCACTTTTTAGAGCATACACTAAAATTACTAACATGCTGCAACTGTCGATACATTTGGATGTCCATGACCTGGATAGGAACAGACTTTGTTCAAGACGTCCAACATTAACAACCGCAAGCAGCTTACACCGGGACGGTTTTAAATTAACGGAGTCATGGATTAGGGAATG